CATCTCAGAACCCAGGTGGAGCCAAGGTGAGGTCACCTTACCACCAAGGTACTCCAGCCAGAAGGCTTGCCCTTCCCAGCTACTAAAGCCTCTAGTCTTTAAAAGGCTAATACTTTTCAGTTTTTAAATCCTTTGATATTGGAGGAGGTCTAGAGTTTTGGGGCCACATGCTTTTGACTTTAATAGGGGAAGTAGGATTACAAAGTGTGGGGAGACTTCAGGTCCTTCAAATGCATACATTCTTTAGAAACAATATCTTCTGAAGTCCCTCCCAATTACTGGGGCAGGACCTTATCATCATCCCTTGGTTCCTAATTGCTTATGGTGAGTCTGTGACAATGGTGACAATTTGTCACAAGTTTAAAAGCTATTAGAGGCTACGAAAATTATGTTGTTAGGTATATAAATACTATTGACTGGTAAATATATAACAACACGTGTGCATGCATACATACACACATCACATCACATATCTAGTACTGGCTGAAAGAATTGAACAATTTAGTTGGAATTACAACCGTAATAGAAAAGACATCCTTTGATGAATATAATTCAATGAGTGATACAAACAGTAGGTTCTGGCTTAAATAGAGAGTTGGGATATTCAAAAGAGACTTCCTGGAGGAGGTGGAAAATCAGCAGGATTTTGTAGCATGAACAGGAGCTGGAAAATCAAAGAGGATGGAGGATGTGAAAAGGGTCTGACCTAAGGCATGGAGGTGTGAAGGCCCCATTAGTTCAGGCTTTTAGGATTTGTCAAGAGAATTAGTGGGAAATAAGGGTGGCAAGATAAGGCAGAACTGGAATAGGATGTCAGCCACTGCCTGCCCCAGCCCTGCCAAGCAATAGGTAGTTAAAGACTTGGAACCTACGAGCACAGCTCGACTCCATCTGTAGGACAGTAAAAACCACGTCTTTCAGTGTCTTAAAGCCTCATCCTCTTACCTTGAAGGGGTCTGGGATCAGTCCTCGGCAAAGAATTTGGAGATGATGTGGCAAGCTGGGGAGCTATTGTGTAGGTCCTGGAAAAAGGGAGCATTGTGGTTTTAAGATTAATGTATTTACCACATGGTTTCCCACCACCCCTGTCCCCAACTGTAGGGCATATTCTTGAATTTTTCTTCATAGTGGATATGAGAGAAATAGATATTTTCTTCTCCCTTCACATACACTTACTCAGGAACAACCCCTAACCATCAACTTCTTATGACCCACTTCTTATATGGTCAGATATCTGCGGGATGCCAGCCTGGTCAAGATAGCAGGTGTAATCTCTGCTTGTGGGACAGAGGAAACGATTTAGTTTGTTTAAAGAATTGAACTTGCATCTCTGGCCTTCTGGCACAGAGCTCCTTGGCCAAAACTCCATTATAAATAATGAGCGTCTTTCTCCCAACCAAGGCTCCTTTCCTACAAAGGACATTTCTTCAGTTAATAAAATACTAGTGGATGTTTCAGTGGCGACTGCTTTGAAGATCTGGTTAAATAAGAGGAGCGTATCACCAAGAAATGCTCCCGTTACAATAAATGGCATAGTAGAACAAAGGTCTGGGAGTTCTGAAACCAGAGCGTTCTAGGTTCAGATTTCATCTCTCCTGTATAAATAGGCCTAGTCATTAGTTATTTGCAAGGCTTTTTAATGATTGGAAATTGTATACATAAAGCATCTGGCTCACACACATTCAGTAAAGGGTAGACGGTATTAATAGCATCTACATTTTAAGTTCCTCCTCCTGAGTTGGAGGTTCTCTATGTTGCATTGATTCCATGAGATGGGTTTAAATTAAGAAGGTGACTGCAGATGGATGCCAGCTTCCTCAAGCACTGACCGCACAAAGCTGACCTGGCAGGGGCAGGCCTTGAGCAGACTCAAGCTCACACAGTCACTGACAAGAAGAAATCTTTTTGTTTTTGCTTTGCTGAGAAGATGGTGCTGAATGCTTCCTTCCATTGGGAAATCAATTTCACTGTGCAGCAGATCTCAGTAAGTGGGGTCATCCTGCTGCTCTTCTAAAAGAGAGATATATTTCTATTTTTATTAATCATGGAACTGACATTTGTAAAAGAAAATAACCTGTTCACTCTCCTCCTGGCCGTACCTACTGACTTCCAGAAATTAAGAGTGAGAAGGGATTTTTATCTTCCAATCTGGAAACCATACCCTCTTCTGTTTTTAAACAAGCATCCTCATGTCCTTGGAGACCTGCTGTGTATGAATTCTGGAATAAAAGGAATTCTCAGAGATTTTTGTTGGCTGTCGTTTCGAAGGCAAAGTAACAAAGCCATAGTGCCAAGAGACACCTAAAATAGCTGTGCACATAATTATGGGGCTAGATACCTGCTCATCACACGCTTGAAAACGTGTCCAAAGGAGTTGAATCCAATACTAAGGACCATTGGTGTAGATGGTGAGAGGTGTTTATTCTATACTGGGTTTTCTGACATATACAGTGCAGCTCATTTTAATATAGTGAGATACAATAAAAATCTCAACATGAAACAGTTACGTTGGGTGAGAAGAGTATTAGTATTAACTTGTTTTATAAATCGCTTATCTGCAAAGTTTCTGTAAACGGCCATCATTCCTCACACTTTTGCAATTGGTTTGACCACCCCATGTGTTTTTACATGAAACCTTCTTACACACAACACGGATGGTATAAGTGAGGAGCAGCCTCCTGGAGCGCTGTGATGGAGTGCGGTTCCCTCCATGCAGGTAGGCGGCTGCAGAGAATTGTGGCCCATTTTTTGCCTCTGCGGAGGAGTCTTCTACATCAATAACCACGCAGCCTCTAGGAGGCAGCAGAACACCAAATAAAGCCATGTGCCTGGGGCTGTCAGGCTCTTCTGGCTCATCGCCCAGCCATTCTAGGGCCATGATGCAGCACCCACCTTTCTCGCCATTGCCCAGCAAAACTCGCCCTCTAGAACTTGCCAAGATGGGGACCTTTGCTGTCAAGCCTCCCATACCCACTTGCCTCCATCACCCCTTCTCCTCCACACTCTCAAACCCTCTTGGTTTACTTTGTACCATATCATGTGGCTTAGTGGTGGGGTTTGTTTGCTTTTGTTTTTTAATCAGCTATACCTGTCTTTTTGGCAGGAACCATGTCTATGTCTCTGTTTCCCATAATGCCAGGATGACCCTGGAGGCCTATATAAATGCTTGACAGCTGATGAAGATTCCTTAATCTGTAGTCTGTTCTTGATACATGTTTGCTAATTTAATTGTCAAGATGGTCTTATTTTGCACAAGAGAAAGTATTTTCTTTGCTTCACTTGTTTCTGAAAGGGCTGCATTCTCGCATGCTTTCTGGTTTCTTTCCAAAACCAGGTAAGATAGAGGTGGAGTGTAAGATAGAAGGCTTAACCCCAGGGGTATAATGGAAAACATTAACTTTGGTATCATAGATGCAAATTTGCCTCTAGGCTCTTCCCCTTCCTTCCCAGCTGTGTGCCTTGGTCAAATTAACTTCTCAGCCTCGGTTCTCTCACCCGTAAAATGGGGCTATACGGGTCTGGCCCTGTGGCCGAGTGGTTAAGTTTGCATGCTCTGCTTCAGCGGCCCAGAGTTTCGCTGGTTCAGATCCTGGGCGCAGACCTGGCACTACTCAGGAGACCATGTTGAGGCGGCGTCCCACATGCCACAACTAGAAGGACCTACAACTAAAATATACAACTATGTACTGGGGGGCTTTGGGAAGAAAAAGCAGAAAGAAAAAAAAAAAGAAGATTGGCAACAGTTGTTAGCTCAGGTGCCAATCTTAAAAAAAAAAAAAAAGGAGGCTATCCAAGCTGATCATGTAATTTGTTATCTAAACTGGAGCACATTGGAGAGTGAAGGAGGACATTTAAAAATGCTTATAATAGTCTAGTCCTTTGCAGTATTCATTGACTGAGGAATGGTTTTTATTTTTCTTTTTTGGTTTGCCTATAAAATTGTTCTATTCAAAAATGATTTTCAAAATGACGTTTCCTAAAGGATATTAAAACAGAGTATAAACAGGACAAATTGTAAACCAGGTGACATGCTGGAACAGCGGGTGTAAACCATATGGTGTTTCAAAGAATCAAACCAAGTAATACAGGTAGAGGGTCTAGTGCTATGCCTGGAAGACGCTATGTCTTCAGGAAATGATGATTGACTTTTCCTTCCTGGAAGAAGGTTGGACAGAGAAGCACTGACCAGCAATAAACAAAGGCCTATGAGCTTTCTTAAAAGGCTACTGTAAGGAGGGTATGCTCCTCGCTCTCCAGATCCCAATAACCCTGGATGTGAATTTTGTCCAACACTAGTAGGAAAATACTGATTGAAGAACATGGTCCTGCTTATATGTAGTCAGACAGCTGTCTCAGCAGCAGAGAACATACGCAGGGAGGAGCTGTGCCGTTTGGGTGATAATTTGGCTGCCCTGTGAGCACAGAGCTCTTGTCTTCACTTGCAAATTCACTACTGCTTCTGGGCAACTTGCCTGGAAAGCTGGGGGAACTGGCCTTGGCACCCCTCTTCTGCACCCAGCTCCTGCTGTTCAGGGGCCTGATTTTAGCAATTGTACTTAAATACTGGGTTTCCCATAAACTTAATAGTTTGAGTGGTAAAGTACAGACCTGCTTTGAAGGTTGGTGCCCCCATGTAGCCAGAAGCTTAATTGCCATTTTGTGATTGGGCTTTCAGGGTTGTGCGCATCCCTTTTAGAAACTCTAAGTTCGTTACTCCTCACCCTGCCTCTTGTAAGAGCTGTTTTAGTCTCGTAATGAGAGCTCTTTAGCCTGTGTGTTCATTTAACCTAAAGGCCTGCAGACCTGGGGCTGGTGTTTTTTGCCAACTTCTTGTGAGATGGAGAACTTGGGGACTGCTGTGTGGCCTCCTGGAAGTTGGGAAGGACCTTCACACAGTGAACAGCAATGTGTGACAGGAGAATCAAGCCCAGGAGCGGGTCGTAGTGCAGGGGCGGCCCTCTGCATGGTGTGTGGCTCCTAACAGCCTCTTCTTTCTCTAGGTATGTGTACATTCCAGTGGGCGGGTCCCAGCATGGCCTGCTGGGGACGCTGTTTTCCACTGCAATGACGTTTGCGTTTGTGAGCTACTGGCATGGTGGGTACGACTACCTCTGGTGCTGGGCAGCACTCAACTGGCTGGGAGTCACCGTGGAGAATGGAGTCCGGAGGCTTGTGGAGACCCCGTGCATCCAGCACAGCTTGGTGAGCAGGATCCTTGCTCATGTGGTAGGGGACAGCTGAGCCACATGGACTAGGTCTGGGGGGGAATGCAGTCATCAGATTCACCCCATCATGGGCCATTCTTGCTACACTGGTTCAAAGTCCAAGTGCCCAGAGATGGGACAGCTAAGAGAGGCTTCTGTAGCCATTAAAAAGCCCCACATTTTAACCATAAAAGCAATACATGTTTATTATATAAAAATAGATAATTCCAACAAGAATAAAAGAAAAATACCTTCTTAACAGAAACCACTGTTAATACTCATCCTTCTAAATTTTTTTCTGTGTACATACGCACACATATATAACATTTAAAACAAATGCTGGTATTCCAGAGATATGGTTTATCAGGACCACCTTTTTGTCACAAAATCCATTTCTAACAACTCTTTTTAATGGTTACATGGAATTCATTATGCAGATACACCATAATTTATTCCATTAGTCTCCTATTATTAACAGTCGTATTATTTCAAATGTTTTGCAATTATCAATTGCATTGAGATGAATATCATAACCAAGATGAATTCTTGTTTATAAAGTTGCTAAGTTAAAGGTTTTTCTCATTGTTAAGATTTACCATGCATACTGCTTCATTCTTTTTCTTTTTTTTTAAGATTGTCACCTGAGCTAACATCTGTTGCCAATCTTCTTCTTTTTTTTTTCTTCCCAAAGACCCCTAATACATAGCTGTATTGATATTCTTAGTTGTAGGTCCTTCTGTCTCTGCTATGTGTGATGCCGCCTCAACATGGCTTGATGAGCGGTGCCATGTCCGTGCCCAGGATCTGAACCAGTAAAAACCTGGGCTGCCAAAGTGGAGCACACGAACTTAACCACTCGCCCACAGAGTCGGCTCCTGCTTAATTCTTAACTGTCCTATAGACAGTGTGTTAATCTGCATTTCTGCCAACGGTGCATGAGAATGCTGTGCCAGTACTAAGTACTATTGATATTTTTAACCTTTGCTAATTTGATAGGTACTGTTATAGCAGCATAAAAAATAGCTAAGGGTTTAAGACACGTTTCACCTCTACGGGAAAATGATTTGGGAAAATTAATTAAGCACTTTCCTTCACACACAAGCTTTGAGTGATTTTAAACTATGAGCAAACATTTTATCATGTTAAATGTGGTATATGATGTATTAGAATCTTGTAGGAAATCATCACTTCTGAATATACAGCAATATTCTGATAATCCTGACAAAAGTAGCTAAAAAGAAATATGCCGGCATCGGTGTTCACGGTAGGCAATAAAACATAAAAAACTTACTGGCGGATGATTAATGTGGCTGAATTCCTCTAGTATATGCAACTAGAACAAATATGTTTTTTTAAAAAACACCACCAAAATGGAATATATTTGAGTGTTTTTCTATAAAGATAGCCATAGTACAGGTGGACAGTTATTTCAATAAAAACTGATACAATGCACATAGCAAAATAACCCATTAGAAGGAATTTAAATATGCTCATGTATGTTTAAAGAGAAATATTTTATTCAGTAGTGGTACCCAGCAATCAGCAGGAAAGAAATGTCAGTGAATTCTAATGGGAAATGGAATTTCAATGAAAGTCATGGTCGTACAACACCAAGAGAAACCATAAAAGATGGTACTACAAAGGTTTTAATCTTCATCCTCAAATCCAAATAGTCTTCCGCAAAGCCTGAGACCCAGTCATCACCTGTGAAAACCAGAGAATTCTTTTCAGCCCAGGCTGAAGCCCTGTAATACATTTTCATGTTCTTTCATGAAGGGTCTAACATTAACCTTGAACTTAATGTTGAGTAGTACTCTGATGCCTTTGAGCCAGGGCTTGCGTTATTAATAAATTTTAAAAATACAAAATGTTAAAGGAGTAACCTAAACTATGCTGTGTAGCCAATGGCTTGTTAATTTTGGTTAAAAATCAATGAAGAGGGGCTGGGCTGGTGGCATAGTGGTTAAGTTCATGTGCACCACTTTGGCGGCCGGGGGTTCACAGGTTCGGATCCTAGGTGTGGACCTATACACAGCTCATCAAGTCACACTGTGGTAAGGTCCCACATACAAAATGGAGGAAGATTGGCACAGATATTGGCTCAGGGACAATCTTCCTCAAGCAAAAAGAGGAAGATTGGCAATGGATGTTAGCTAAGGGACAATCTTCCTCACCAAAAAAAAAAAGAATGAAGACAGTGAAAACACTTACAGGATGAAGCACTTGAATGTCCACTCTGCCCCGACAGCTCATTCCAGGACCCTCACATGTTTACCTCATTTGAGCTTCCATCCACAATTCAGGTACCTAGGTGTATAGTAATAAATATGCATTTTGGGGGGTGAGATATGTGTCTTGTATGTTCCAGATGACGTGTTTAGTTTACATATTTATTGAGCAGGAATATATTTTGTAAAACCTGTTTTTATCACCTGTCTATGGTGGTTGGTTATGGCTATTTAGACTAGGAGCTCCTTGAGGACGGGGTCAGGTTCCCAGCACTGTTTATATCCCCACTGGTTAGTTCAGTGTCTGAATGAGCCTCAGTGGTAAGTCAGTGCGTGATTAAGGCTTGTAAGTTGGGTTGATTTTTCAGTTATTCTCCCACTTGTCTACCCAAGGACTCTTCCTCCACTACCCTGTTTCTTCTGTAGTTCAGCATAGATTCCGTTTTCCTTGTACCCCAAATGTACACAACTTTTTGAGTTTCTCAGTAAACTGTTTCCCCACTTGAGTTACCCTCCTTCCCTCTCTTCTCATGAGTCCATTTCCTGTTCTCTTGTCAAATTCCAAATAAAGACTTCATGCCTCCTTGGCACCTAATTTCATCTGACTTTAGTCTCCCACATTGATCTGATAGTATTTTTACAATGTGACTTCACTCCCAGTACTCCTCATGTACTCACTCCATGGCATTCGTCCTTCATCTGTTTTTAAAGATGGATTGAAAGATATCTGAATAATAAGGATTATCATTTCTTCTTTTCCCATATCTTCATCTTCAACCTCAAAGCTTTGTCTGGGGCACAACATACAGTAGGATTCTATTCCTCAGTGTCGCTAGAATGACAGTGAACACTCACTAAGACTAGTCAGGGCTGAATGTTGTAAATGAGAAACTCTTTGATATTCTAGGCAGTGCTGCAATAATGGAAATGTCCATTGTGCTGTCCCATACAGTAGTCACTAGCCACACTGAGCCCTGGAAATGTGGCTAGCATCACTGAGAGACTAATTTTTAAATTTTTATTAATTTGAATCTAAGTAGCCCCCATTTGGCTAGTGGCTTCCATTTTGAGCAGTGCAGTTCTACAGCATATCCCCTTTCTAGAAAAAAACTAAAGAATGTAGAATGTTTGACTCTGCTATAATTTAGAATGATCTTCATTAATGATATAGTACCTCATTTATCCAGCAGGCTATTGAACTCTCCACTTGAATAGCTCACAGATATCTCAGACTGAGCACGTGTAACACTGAACTCATGTAACCCCGTCCCTCAATAATTCCACCTGGCTCCTTTCCCTATAACACTCTATTTCGGCAAAAGGCACCATCATCTATGCAGTTACTCAAGGCCAAAACCATCAAGTTATCCTTTGTACCTCCCTCTCCCTCAGTTCTACCTGTACATTCTACCTCCTAGGTAAATCTTAATTTTTTAAATTGTTTCCATTTCCACCGCATCCTCCTAGTCCAACTGTTCTCATTTCTTGCCTGGTCTACCAAATAGCTTCTAACTAGCCTCCCTGCTTCCACTTTTGCCTTCTTCACTTCTTTATCCTCCTAGTGCTAAGTGATGCTTCTCAATAAAAACCTAACTTTGTTATTTTTCTTAAAATACGTAGTGGCATCTCGTATTCTTGGGACTGAGGCCACAATATTTAAGATGGCCTGTGAGGCCTTGCCTGATCTTGATCTTGCTACCTCTCCCCATCCTCTCAGCCCCTCTGCCCTCACGCTCTGTTCTTCCTTCTGTATGTTTACAATCCTGGCCCCTCCAGCCTTGGCTCCCCCACACAGGCTCTTCCGTCTCCTAGGATGCTCTCTCTCCTTTCCCTCCATCCCTGTTCATCCTTCAGAGTTCAGCTTGACTGATACGTTGTTTGCATAGCCTTTGCTGACCCTCCCAAGTCAATCGAGTCTCATTTAATATTTCATTCTGGGTGCCTTGTACATGGTCTCTTCTCTTGTACTTATCACAGTTATGATGAAATATTTTTATCCAATAACTTGTTTAATCCTTATCTCCCTCACTGAACTGTGAGCCTCAGAGAAGTCAGAGATCTGTATCCTTGACACTGTCACAATGTCTGGCACAGAGTAAGCATGTGGTAAATATTTGTTACATGAGTGAGTGATATTTTCTGACTTCACTAGGGTAGTATAAGAGAAAATACGTGTATGCAGCAGCATGAAGAATATAAATTGGATGCTGGAAGAACTTACTAAGGCTGAGGCTTATTAAGCATTATACAAGGAGATTATTTTATTTTGCAGCAGAGTAGATGCTAATTGGTCTAGTGATGGCAAAATGCTATTTTAATGCTCAGTGCACAAAATGTATATAGAAAAGAAAGGGGTATGGAGGAATCAGCCTTCCTGGTACCCTGCTGCTTAGGAGACGGGGGATGATTGGTTGTGACTCACTGAGACACAGAGCTGTTGGAAGCTGACAAAAGCATTTTCACAAAGCACCCGAGCTGGGAGACGAAGGGGAGTTACTGAGGAAGCAGCACGCGTTTTCTCTATGTAAGTGCTCTCCCGGGGAGCTAGAATTTGTGTTCAGCATTGAAATCTTTTAATAAACGGAAACATTTTGAAGCGTCAGTAGAGTGACAGTACTTGCCAATTCTTAATTTGATCTCTCCTTTGAAGGAAGACATCTTCAGGCTGCTTGTCAGTTATTCCTTCACGAAGAAGAATCTACATCTCAAGCAGTTCCCCCACGCCCACCCTGTTTTCCATTTCATTGAATAAATATGTCCTCCTCCCCCA